GCTCCCTCCCTCCCCTTCCTCACCCTCCCTCCCCTTCCTCACCCTCCCTCCCCTTCCTCACCCTCCCTCCCCTTCCTCACCCTCCGTCCCCTTCCACCATCCCCGTCCTCCTCCGTGCAGCCCCTTCCCCGTCCCCGCAGCCCCTTCCACCTCTCTCCACCTCCTTCCACCTCTCACCATCCCTTTCCTCACCCCCATCCCTCTCCTCCTCCCTCCAGCCCCTTCTCCTTGCCCGTGCCCCCCTGTTCCCTCGTCCCTTCCAGGGGGGCGGTGGGTCTGTCCCTGCCTGTCCCAGGGGGTTGGTTTGGGACCAGCTTTTCCACACAAGGCATCCCTGTGCCCCTGGGCAGGGGGAGGTCGGGGTGCCCTGGTCCTTTGGGATCGTGGGGACTCCCTTCTCCAGTCCTGGGTTTAAGAGAAGGGCTTTGAGGAGGGTGAAGGCACGAGGGGCTTCTGCAGGCTGGGGGGGTTTGGGAGGAGAGGAACAACCTGGCTGGGAATTCGGGAGAGGTGATCTGTGCTCTTGAGAGGAGGCCAGGCAGGGCTGTGGAGGTCTGAGGAGGATTTAGGTTTGAATCCTGGAAGGTGGGAGGCTCGATGGGGCTGGTGGTCTTAGGAGGGACGCACTCCTGCTGCAGGGAAGCGTGTTGGGCTCTTGGAGTGTTTGCTTTGACTGGCTGAGGCTCTGGACTGGCAAACAGGTGTTGGAAAGGTGTGTTGGAAGTGCTGAGACTTGGGAGCCCCAGTCTCTGTGTGAAAGGGATGCTCCTGAAATATTCACCACTGAGGAGCAGTGGGAAGTGCCAAGGGAGTGTTCAGGGAGCTCACAATGTTTTTTTTCCCTCATTTGTTCAGTTATCACCATAAAAACTGCTCAGGATAAGCCACAGCACTTCAGCCTGACCCCTCACAGCTGCAGGTGGAGGAAACACCAGAGGGAGAGAGGATAAAGAAGAAAGAGGGGGCAGATTCTGGCATGGCAGGGGGAGAGATTCCCAATGGCCTGTGCCTTTCATTTACTGCTCTGGTGCCAGGCTGGTGATCCTGGGGGCTCAGATGGAGGGACCATGAGCTGCTCTCACCAAGGGCAAACATGGCATCATCCCGTGGAGTCCTTCAAGTTTCCAGAGTCCCTGCCCTGGGGTGGATCTGGAATCCCTTAAGTTTCCATCAGAGATAGCAGTATTTCATATTTCTCACTACTGGTGAGAAAGCCAGGAGTATTTCTCACTGCTAATGCACACAGCTCCTGCCTGTTTGATACCTGCACTGACGGTGTCAGATATCAGAGTTTTAGTGTTTTCTGGCATTAGTTACTTTTCATACTCCAAAGTAGAACAGCTGCTGGTTCTCTGACCCTGAAGGACCTTCCCTCCAGTGAAGGCACCTTCACATTCCTCAGCAGCAGCTGCCTGTGATTCCCTGTGTCCTCACCACCCTCAGTTTTACTGTTGTGTTTTATTTGCCCCACTCCTGCAGGATCCCAAAGCCAAGAAGTAAAATATCTCTTATTTAATTGCTTTTTTAGCTGTTCATTACGTATTTTTGTGCAGAATTTTCTCTATTGATATAAATGCAGGTAGTTAATTAAAAAAACACCCCAAACACCTCCCTTCCCTGTGATATTTGAAGGGGACTTTAGTCACACCCCTACCCCCATCCCCTGCTTTTTAGTCTTTCCCGGTTTTATCATTTATTTAATTGTGTTCTCCTTGTCAGGTGGAAGATGGGACCGTTTCCCTCGTGTTTTAGGTGAAACCTGGTGACCATGAAGTCCCGAGGGAGATAGAGGGACAGCAGTGGGAATTCCTTCTCACTCCTCTGAAAAAATCCAACAGTTGCCTGATGGTAAGAAAGCCGTTGCTTTTAATTAGTGTTATATTTACAGTGCTCGTTAATCAAGGAACAGATTGAAGAGTTTCAGCTCCAAACCCAGTGGGATGGAGGAGGACACAGCTGTAAATGCTGCGTGTTTGGAGCGGGTGGGAGGGTTGGACTGAGAGCCTGACTGCTGTGGTTTGTGCCCTCTCCGCAGGGATTGCCCCTTTGGCTGGCGTCATGGGGAGCTGCTGCAGTTGTCTGTGCACAGACAGCATCCCAGACAACCACCCCACCAAATTTAAGGTAAGTGTTGCACCTTCAACCCCGTCAGAGAGTCTGTGACAGCTCCAACTGCTGGCAAAGCCCAGCGTGGGCTGGAGTCGGGCAGGAGAGGAGGGAGAAGCTCTGCTCCTGCACACAAGTGTCACTTGAGAGGATTTGAAAATGTGTTAGTTTCGGTTTGGGTTTGTTTTCCTTTCCTCAAGGAACCTCTGCTGCAAATGTGTTTGTATTTGCTGTGGAAATTGCCTCTGCTTGGGAAATGCAAGGAAATGGGGGACTGGAGAGAAACCTTTTATTGCTGAGGGCTGTGTTCCAGAGCCTGGGCTCAGACACATCAGCTGAGCTGCCAAGCTCGCAGTCTCCAGGGCTGACAGCTCGGCGCCTGCTGCCAGCCATGAATCCCTGCTCTCAGCTGGGGAAAAGGCATCAGTAAATGGGGGGAATCCGTGGAATTACAGTGCTTGGTGGGTGGGCTGCTTTGGATACCAGTTGCACTGGTGAGGGGCACCTGCAGTGCTGTGTCCAGTTCTGGGCCCCTCAGGACGACATTGAGGGGCTGGAGCGTGTCCAGGGAAGGGAACGGAGCTGGGGAAGGGGCTGGAGCAGCAGGAGAACTGAGGGAGCTGGGGGGGCTCAGCCTGGAGAAAAGGAGGCTCAGGGGGGACCTTCTGCCTCTGCAACCCCCTGACAGGAGGGGGGAGCCGGGAGGGTCGGGCTCTGCTCCCAGGGAACAAGGGACAGGAGGAGAGGGAATGGCCTCAGGCTGTGCCAGGGGAGGGTCAGGAGGAATTTCTCCATGGAAAGGGTGGTCAGGCACTGGAAGGGGCTGCCCAGGGAGGTTTGGAGCCCCCACCCCTGGAGGTGTCTAAGGAAGGACTGGCCATGGCCCTCAGTGCTCTGGGCTGGGGGACAAGGTGGGGATGGGGCACAGGGTGGACTCCATGATCCTGGAGCTGTTTTCCGGCCTCAGTGACTCTGGGATTCAGAGTTTGCTGCCGTGGGCTCCGCAGGTGACGAACGTGGACGACGAAGGGCACGAGCTGGGCTCTGGGATCATGGAGCTGACGCAGCGGGAGCTCATCCTGCACACGCACAAGCGCGACGCCGTCAGGTGGCCCTTCCTGTGCCTGCGCCGCTACGGCTACGACTCCAACCTCTTCTCCTTCGAGAGCGGCCGGCGCTGCCACACGGGGCAGGGTGAGTGTGGCACTGCCTCCTGGAGGCAGCAAGGCTCAGCCTTCTGTTCCCAAACTTCTTCCCAAACTCCTGCCCCTGGTCAGTCAGCAGGTTCCCCCGCAGCCCCTTGCCCGGGACACCACAGTGTGGGTGTGCACATCCAGTGGATGCTCCCGGTTCAAACACCCACGAGACAGTGTTGTGGCTCAGGGCCTGGGCATAAATCTGGTGCTCTCGCTTTGCTGGTGCATTGGTGCTCGTGAGGGGGTTGCTGAAGCATTTCTGGGGTGTATTTAATGCCACAGAGGTTGTTACACTGCCAGCGCTGTGCTTCAGTGCCAAAGGATGCCCAGCTGGTAGCAGGACCTTCCTGAGGATCTAGAAAGCACTTTTTGCAAGACCGAAGCTGTTAGGCATCTTTTAACTCAGGATAAAGCAAAAGGGCATCTCCCACACCTTTTTCCAGGTCCCTCTTAGGATTGTTTATTCCACAGAGCCTGTCGGTGGCAACAGTGGTTTGGGCACATTTTGTTTTCCTTGGTGCTTTCCCCCTGCCTTGGTCAGTGCTGGTTCTGCCCAAAGCTTTGCATTTGGGGTCTGGCAGCACTTTGTAACCGCGAGGGAAAGGAGTCCTACGTTTCACTGATGTTATGCACGGGGATGCTGTGCATGGAGGAGGGAAGTGAGTCACCCAGGAGTACATGCCAAGTCATCAGCAGCACTGGGAATAGTCTCCAGTTTTACAATGGTGCCTGTTAGTTCCTTTACCAGTCTGTCTCTCTTGCTTTTAAAGAGCTGAACATTTTCTTGGCATCTGCATCCCCGGGAAAAAAAAAGTTGTTTCCTCATTCTAACAATGTGTTTGTAAACTCCTTCGTATCCAGAAGGACTCACACGAGTGTTCAGGGTCTGTGCAAATCTGCAGTGGCATATGCTCCTTTTTAATATTTATTTAAGTGGGGGTTCCCTCTCCTGGAGCCATGTGCTTATCAGTGGTGGGAGACTGGATTCTGTTTTGCCTGTTGCAGGGTGAGGATCAGTGATTACAACTGAATCCAGTGATTAAAATTCTGCCCCGTGTGTGGCTTGCTCTGCTCAGGTCCAGGCAGAGGTGAAGAAGCAAAGCTCTTCACATACTACAAAATTTGTAGCCGACCCTCATCAGTCTCAAAGCAGAAATGAGAGGGATGATGTGTTTTGATGAGTTTTCTCCCTTCCTTGTAGGATTTTACTCTGCTTATTGATTTTATCTGGAGGACTCCTTCCTGATGCTGCTTCCTACCTGACTCAAGGCAGATCCAGCTGGTTTTTTTGGCCAGAACCTTGCAAACCTGGTTCTTTGGGAGCAGCCCTTGTTGCCATGCCATTCCTGTTGCTATGGCTTTGGTGTGTGTGTGTGTGCCAGCCTGGGATTGGTTACTGGTCTGGGCTGCTCCTTTGGGGAGACACACTTTAGTTCCAGGGATTTTTAAAAGTGTGATGTCCTTGTCCCTCCCTCACGTGCACACACCACAGGGCCCAGTCCAGCTTGGAGGAGGCACTGCCCAGCCTTTCCCTGGCACTGAGGACTGCACTGGGTGCTGGGGGAGTTCACACAGATCAGAGGTGAAAGGGGACCAGTTCGCCTGTCCCTGCACACCTGTGGGCTTGGCTGTTGTCAGATAACACAATGCTGAGGTGTCCAAGGCCAGGCTGGATGGAGCTCTGAGCAACCTGGTCTAGTGGAAGGTGTCCCTGCCCATGGAGGGGGTGGAATGGATGAGCTTTAAGGTCCCTCCAACCCAAACCATTCTGGGATTCCATGATTTCTGGTGATTATCTCACGAATAATCCACCAGTTGTTGGTTGTTTTCCTGCAGCTGTGGGTTGATTGTGTTAAACACAGCAAAAGCAACCAGAATTCCCTGTTTGTTTAGAGCCAGGAATTCCCTGTACTCTGTAAAAGCAGGATCACTTCCTTGCTCCTCTGAGCCTCCTCTCTGTCACTGCACAGGGATTTTTGCCTTCAAGTGCTCCCGAGCAGAGGAGATCTTCAATCTGCTGCAGGACCTGATGCAGTGTAACAGCATCAACGTGGTGGAGGAGCCTGTTGTCATCACCAGGAACAGTCACCCCACGGAGCGGGAGCTGTCCCGGACCCCCCAGGCCCCCAACAGTAAGACCCCTCGGTGTCTGGGGAGGAGTGGGGGGCACACAGAGATGGGGTGATGTCTGCAGTGCTCCCATCAAACTGCCCTGTGCAGCCCAGGGGTCTCTCCCACGTGCTGTCCCATGTCTTTTTGGCCACGTGTACCCCATGCAACACGTTTATTTAGAGGCCCCACTTGTTCCTGTGTGGAATTTTGTTCCTGAGGAAACAGCAACAAAACCCCCTTCAAACAGTCCCCTGAGCTGTCACCCCTCAGCTGGGTTCTACTGGGCCACTACCAAGTGGCCTTTCCTAAGTAGCACCTACAAAGGTCAGGTGGTTTCTCCATGAAACCACCTCTGGAATAACTCAGATTGACTCAATTCCTGTCTCCATGAAGTTTTAAATGAGGTTTAAACGAGGCCCTGGCCCTTGTGTTGTGCTGGGTTCTTCACTGTTGGGATCTCCCCCAGGCAGGCTGGTTCTGCCTTCCAGGGTGCAGCAAAGTGAAATAACTCTTATTTTGTACCAATCTAATGCTCCTCTGCCTTGATCCTCTCCCAGGTCTGGGGTACACCGTCCCAGGATTTCCCAATGGATTTCACAGCTTCCCTGGAGAAAGCCTGTCCTACTCCTCAGCCCGGCACCCCTTGGCGAGCAGCCTGAGATATTCCTCCGTGGGGGAAGACTCCACTCATCCCCTCCTTGGGCCTGAGGAGCAGGTAAACCTGCCTGTCCTAAACTCTGCTGGGTGCAAGCAGCTGGTTTTGCTCTGCAGTCCTGGGTTTCTCCCACTCAAAGCTCAGGGGATCCTCACACCTTGTCATTCTCGTTTTTCTCTTTACTTCATTTTGCTCTTGGAGGCTCCTGCTCTCTGACACTTCACTAGAACATCAGCCTGGCAAAGCCAACTGAGTTGTCCTAAATCCACTGGTATTTGGGTGGCAACTATGTGTCACACAGCCCCTAAACTGGTGTCACACAGCTGTCACACAGCCCCTAAACTGGTGTGCAAATGCACCCCAAATTCAGACCCATTTTATTTTCATTTTTGACGTTCAGATCTTTGTTTTAAGTTCTAGAATTTAGGATTTTCCCCTGCGAAATCCAGCTTTGTCTAAACCATCCCCCAGGAGGCCTGGGTAGGTGTGAGGGCTGCAGGATCCCTGTGGGAGCCACTTGAGGAAATATTTTTTTTTGCAAGTGGCTTTGCTTTTTGCTCGGTGCCACATGCACTGAGCGTGACACAGACAGAACCCCAGAATCACAGGGGTTGGCAAAGACCTCCCAGACCATCAAGTCCAACCCGTGCTCAATCCCCACCTTGTCCCCCAGCCCAGAGCACTGAGGGCCACGTCCAGTCCTTCCTTGGACACCTCCAGGGGTGGGGACTCCAAACCTCCCTGGGCAGCCCCTTCCAATGCCTGACCACCCTTTCCAGGAAGAAATTCTTCCTGATGTCCAGCCATGTGGACACATACATTATGTGTCTGCAGCTGGACTCCTTTTTGTCTCTCCTCCAGCCCACAAATCCTAAAATGGCTTTTGCGTTTTGCTTCCCAAAACCTTCTCGACTTACGAAATTCTTCCATTCTCCTCCTGCTTCATCAGCCACTGATGAATTTTCCCCTCCTGGTGGTTTCTCAGCTGCTCTCGGCTGCTTTGCTCTTGCCTCTGCTCTCTTCTCCTTTCACTGTCCCTCTGCTTCTCTCCTTGCAGTCCCACACCTACGTGAACACGGCCAGTGGGGAGCAGGAGCCGAGGGGCCGGCACTGTATGCACTCCTTGCCTGAAGCCCACCCTCCTTTCCCCCCTAGGAACCACAGCTGCTCCCTCGAAGACCGCGACCCCCAGGTCTTCCTGCAGCCAGGGGAGGTTAAATTCGTGCTGGGTCCCTCCTCCGGCTCCCGCCGGGTGTGCCGGCACCCCCGGGAGTGCGGGGGTCCGCTCTGCCCCCCCAACAACAACAACAACGAGTGCGAGGGGGGTTGTCCCTCGCCCCAGTGCGTCTACGAGAACCTCAACGGGCCGGTGTCCGGCGGCAGCTCCTCGCGGTGCCGGGCCGGGCTGCCCCGGCTGTCCCGGCAGGACGGCGGCTGCTCCCGGCGCCGCTCGGCGCTGCTGCACTACGAGAACCTGCCGGCGCTGCCCCCGGTGTGGGAGCTCCAGCCCTCCCGGCGGGACGAGCCCCCCGCGCCGTCCCCCGGCGGCTTCTCCGAGGCGGGCGAGGAGGATCCGCTGCAGAGCCGCCCCACGAACTCCCGGCGCAGCGCCCTCCTGCCCCGGCCCCGGCGCGCCCGCCTGCCCGGCGTGTTCGGCTTCGAGCTCCTCCCGCGGCCCCGCGCGGAGCCCCCGCGGCAGCTCAACTACATCCAGGTGGAGCTGGAGGCCGAGCCGGGCGAGGGGCACCGGGAGCCGCCCCGTGTCCCGCCGCCCGCCCCGCCCGGCGCCCGCCGGACCGACTCGTACGCCGTCATTGACCTCAAGAAGACCGCGGCCATGTCCAGCTTGCAGAGGGCCCTGCCCAGGGACGACGGGACCTCGCGGAAAACGCGGCACAACAGCACTGACCTGCCCCTCTGAGGGGCCCCCCAAGTGCCAGCCCCGCGTCGCGGCTCCGGTCCTGCCCCTCGGTGCCCTGCCCGCCGTGACTTCCACTCGCCATTGCCTTCTGCTTCCCTGCCTGCCCCTTCCCTGCGGGCACGGCGGGGCTCCTGCAGCTGCTGTTGAGGCTCGTCCGTCTGTCTGTCTGTCTTACCCCTCTCTGTCTCTGTGTCGTTCATTTTTGAAGCCTTGTGGGATATTTGACGACTCAGAAGGTTAAATTTTGGGCAGGAGATGCCAGGAATAACAGTGTGGCACTGTGTGGGCACAGACTCGTGTGGGTTAGGGCAGTGCCGGGGCAGGGCAGTGGCATGGGGGAGGCCTGTTCCCAAAAACGAGCTGCTTTAGGAGCTCCACTGCAAATCCAGGCTGTTCCCTGTGGATTTGACACCTCCAGGAGAGCTCTGCAGCCAGGCCACTCCAAAGTCGGGACCTGCCTTGTGTTTTCCCTGGTCCCTGGTGATGAGGGAGCTCATGCCGTGGCCTTTCCACCCTCACTGTTAACCTGTTTTCTTGAAGCTTTTTATACTTCTGTCCTTTTCTCAGATTCAATTTAAATTGGGCAGCTGAAATTAAATGAGGAGGACAGAGAGCCATAGGCACACACTGTGATCACAGAAACCTGATTTCCTAAATCCTAAAATTCCTTTTCCTGCTCTAAAAGAGGAGGGAAAGGCCACAACCGTGAGAGAGATTTGAGGTTTGGTGTAGAAAACTTCACTTGTGCCATACCCTGGTGTGCTTTTGAAGGATTGTTTGGCAGCTGCTCAGAAGTGTTGTCGATTTATTTATTGTTTACCTATTTATTTATGAAATGCTCCTTTGCCTCCCAGTTAATTGCCAAACTGGTGCCGATATGAAGCGTGTGCTCGCTGTGGCTCGCTCCGGTCTGGGGGACAGGTCTCAGAAGAGGTTGGTGGCTTTGCTGAGGCACCAACTGGGGAAGAAAAGCTGGGGAAAAGATCAGCTGGGAATCAAAAATGCATTAACCGGGCCTGACTGTCGCAGGGTGGGTGGGAAATGGTATGGGAGCTGTGGGAGTGGGAGCGGAGCCGCCGGGCAGCCGAGCTTGGAGTGGTATCAAAGTCGGTGCCTCCACCCACGTGCCTGGCTGGGCCTCGAGGAATCTCTGTTCAGTGTTGTGAGTGAATGTGCAGTTTGTTTCCTGCAACTACGGACTTGGAAGGGCTAAATTTCGGCTCTCGGGTAAATTTTGTGGCCTTTGATGTGGATCTTTGTCTCGGTACCGGGGCTGGGCTGAGCTGCCTCTGCGCGGGGTCTCTGCTCCTGTCCTGCTCCAGGATGTCCCCCGAGCCCTCTCTGCGTGTCCTGCTGCAGCTCAGTCCCTCCCTGGGTTACTCTGTGCCTGTTTCAGTGGAGAGAAGTGCTCTGGGGTGCTCTGGGGTCCCTCCTCCCTGCTGTCTGTATCCATCTTCCTCCTGGCTCGGGAGCTGGATCCAGTCTCAGCGAGGGTCCCTCTCCCTGCAGAGACGTTGCCAAACCTTGTGTTCCCCTTGTCCTCGATGTTTTCTGGTGTTGACGTCCGTGAAAGAGGAAGGACCCCAATCATCCAGTTCCAACCTGCTTCTGAGGGCCAGGAACTTGATTTCCAGATTTTGGAAGTTCAGCCTTTTTGGGTTTTGGTGCTGTAATGTCCTGCTGAGCCGTGACCCTGTTGGGAGCAAGGGCGTGTGATCCAAGTCTGAGTGATGCCATGTTTGTGTCGCAGAACGTGGAGTTCTTGGCTTGCTGTTGCACTATAAATTCCAAGTGTGCCACATGCTTAAGTTCACTGGTTTTGTTTTTATTTTTGGAAGTCCTTGTGCTTGTCTTCCATTCTTTTGTCCACCCCAACCCTCGTGTCACTTATAACTGAAAGGAAACCCAAGTAATATATTTTTATATGTATAACAAATGACTTTATTTGAAGGAAAAAACAACCCCCCAAGTAATGTATCCCCCTAAATCCAGCTTTCATTTAGGGAAGTGAGAGAAGAAATTGTTTATATCTATATCTATATATATATATATAAAAGTTAACTGCGTTAAGCTTTAAATAAAGTATTTAAATAAAGAGTTTCTGAGCTGTCAATGTCACCCTCTGAGAGAGCACCAACAACTCCCCCTGGAGCCTCTGTATGAACCTGCCTTTCCACTGCCTGAGCTGAGAAATGCAAAATACTTACTCCCTTTTTCCCCAGAAGGGGAAGTGAGGATGAAATGCGATGAGGAATTCCATGGAGGAGGAGGTGAGGGCCCTTTCCCACCCCCACGGGGGGTTTGCAGGTGGGTTGAATTCCAGGGAAGGTGCCGGTGGGTGGCTGTTTGTGCCTTGGGTGGCAGCAGCTGAGGGCTGGGGCTGATTTTGGGTGCTGCCTGTGGCCACCAGCCTGGCCACGTGTCCCCAAGGCTGGGATGAGGCTGCTGTGAGGGTCTGTACATCTGTGAGCTCCCAGGAGCAGGGAATTCTCCTGGTGTTCCTCAGAGACATTGAGCTCCCAGCTGCAATCCCATTTCAGTGGTTCCCGTGAGCTTTGTGTTGGGAAATCTGGCTTGGATCATTTGAACTGCTGATTTTCATGTCCTCCAGGTCTAGGTTGTCCCACTTGGGCCTCTCTCTCCTCGTTGGCAAATCCAGTGCTCCCAAAGGGCACTGAAAGCAGCAGTGATGGGGGATTTGCTCACACAGAAATACGTGAGGGCTGTTCTCCGACCCGTCCTTTATCCCAGTTACACCAGAGATGCTGCACCTCTTGAGGGAGGGAGAAGAATTTCCTTGACCTCAAAGATGAGAAAGCATGGAGCTGATGTTGGTGCTTCCCTGTGGAGCATCCTCTGCTCCATCTCCCCTTGTGTCCTCCCCCTCCCCGCTGGGGCTCGGCTCTGCTGGCTCAGCAGGCTCTGCTCCAGAGGTATCCCAAGCTCCCCGGGAAGCTTTAGGAATGAAAAGCCAGTCACAGCTCATTGTTCACAGTGGGTTGTTCCATGTTTAAGCCGTGGAAGTGTCGTGCAGGCAGCCGGGAAAGCAGTTGGCATTTATGGCTTTCGGGGTGCACGTGTTCACATCCCAGCGATTCTCCCACTTTTTTTGCTTTTCTGAAAAACTTCCCAAGAGCTGCGTCTGCATTAAGTCGCCAGGACTCTTTGAGAACTTCTTCATATTCGGTTTTCCAGGTGGTGTGAAAGTGCAGGGAAGGACAGGTGACACATTTGGGATTCTCCCGGCGCGGTGTCGCAGCTTCCTCTAGTGGCCGCGGGGGAAACGGTTCCAGAGGAGAATCCAGGTTTGGGACGGAAGGTGAGGGGGGAACCCGAGTCCCTGTTCTCTCACCCCTTCGGGGGCTCCTTCCTCCACTCTGGGGTTGAAGTTGAGGGAAGGCTTGGTGAACAGCCAGGGACTGTGCAGAGAGAATTTGGCTGCCCTGACCTTTTTGAGTGGTTCTTGATGAAGTTTGAGTTAATCAATCAGATTTCTTCCCCTCATATTCCTTCCCTGGTGAATGCATAAATAGATCTTTTCCCCTTCCCTTTCCCAAGAACCTGTTGTAGGAATAGAGCTTCTCCCAGTGCTCATCGTGGGAGGGTTTGGTTTTTTTCTTTTAACCCATTTTAAGTGCCTGCTTTTCCCCCAGGGAAGGAGGTTGGAATAGCTGTGAGTGTTCCTGCCTTACAGGGAGAGGGTGGCAAAGGAGAGGCTGGTGGTGAGGGTTAAAGGATTGATATCTCTGCAGAGAGACTCAGATGTGTTCGTTATTTCTGAGGCACTGGTGGCTTTGTTAGCTAAGCCCTGCTGTTCACTGGGAGACAAACCAAGCCAGGGGTGGTACTGCAGCTCCCTGCTCTCTCAGCCATTTTCTCCTGGAATCTTTCCACTGTCCCTCCGTGTGATGCTGCTCAGCCCTCTTGGGTGGTGTCTCGCCTGTGAAAAATTATTAATGAAAGGTTGTTAATGAGCCCATTGCCCAAATCCAGCCTCTGGGAGGGCTGCCCTCAGTCTTTCTGGGAAGTTTGTCTTTCCCCCAACCTTGGCTTGTCTAGAAATTCCACACACAGGCAGCAGAACAGGTTTAGGTTCCTGTTGCTGAAGGTGAATTCATTAGTGAGAATTCTGAGAGCTTTGAAGTTGGCAATTACAGGCCAGGGAGTGGAAAAGGCTAATTGTAAAGAAGGGATCTAATTTGTTTTTCTTCCTAAGTGAATGTGATTTTCCAGTTGAAAGGCCCAGATGCCTCAGTGTTACCTCAAACTCCTCCCAGCTCCCTTGGAGACCCTTTAGGTTCTCATCATCAGGAAGTGGCTGATCCTCACCTGGTTTGGGATGTCAAATGTCCGAGCTTGAGCCCAACCATTTAGTTCAGGTGCTGTTCTCATGGCCGTGTAGGAAAAGAGGATCCTTTATTTTAATGTGGATGGAAGCTGTTCACCTGTGTACTGTAATCTCTGTTTTGGAAATAAAGCACCAAAACCAGCTCCTGCAGCACTGGGTAAAGGATCCAGGAGCTTGTGTAGGTTCATAAACACAGCTGCTTCAGGGAGACACGTGCCATCATGGGCAAAGCTTCCCCCATGGCTTTCTTCATGGAACCATGGAATCACAGGATGGTTTGGGCTGGAAGGGGCCTTAAAGTTCATCCCATTCTACCCTCTGCTATGGGTAGGGACACCTTCCACAATCCCAGGTTGTTCCAAGCCCCATCCAGCCTCACCTTGGACACTTCCAGGGATGGGGCAGCCACAGCTTCTCTGGGCAACCTGTGCCAGGTCCTCCCCACCCTCACGGGGGGAATTTCTTCCCAAAAATCCGATCTAACACTACTCTCTTTTATTTTGAACCCAGTCCCCCTTGTCCTGTCACTACAGTCCTGGTGAGGAGTCCCTCCCCAGCTTCCTTGCAGGCCCCTTCACATCCCACATGGATGGTGGGGGAGTCGGCCGTGGGATGGGAAGGGAGGTGGGATTCCCTGGGCTGGAGCTGTCGGTGTGTGGGCTGGGCCGTGGCACCAACACAGAAGAGAAACTGAAAGCAAAGGAGGGGAGATGCCCAGGCCCTGCTCCGGAGGGATGTCCTGCCTGGGAACGAGGTGTTGGCCGAGTCCTGCTCCACGTGGGGACACTGATCTGATGTTAGAAACTGCAAATCCGTGATTCCCCTTAGACTGAACACCTCAGGGCTGCCCAACTTTGGGTCAAGAGGTGCCAAAAGGTGGGCTGTGTGGGTGCTGCAGAGGGCACCTTATTCCTGTCTCGTGGCAGGGCCGAGCCCCAAGGGGGCTGTGCCGGGACCCGTCGCTCTGTTGACGTTTTGATAACCACACTTTGCTTCCAGCCAGAATTTGCTTTTTATCCAATCTTAATAAGTTGATCTTTCTATCAATCCTGCTGGCAAACAAGATAATTGCTTTATTATAGTCTCAATATCCAGCAAAGGACACACACTCCCTGGTGCTCCCGAGGGAATGAAATCCGTGTGGGGCGTTGACACGGGATGAGCAGCAACAGTGATGCCGGAGGATGGAGAGGGTGATTTCCCCGCTGGGAAGAGCCAGGCTGCTTGGATTGGGGATGCAAGCAGGGCTGGAGGAGCTCTGGAAAATATTTAGGCTGTAACTGAGAGGATGAGGGCCCATTTGCCAGAAAATATTTAGGTTATAACCAAAAATGCTTTGGTTTGTTTGCTAGAAAATATTTAGATCATGACCAAACCCATTTTGGTCCATTTCCTGGAAAATATTTGGGTTATAACCGAAACTGAAAACATCTCTTTGGATGTTTGTTGGCAATCTGGGAAGTCTGTGTTTGTGGTCCTCTTTCTTTTTTTTTTTCCACAGGAAAAAAAGCAAACAAGGAATTTTCTGACTTTCTGGGCTGGTGTGAGGAGGCGGTGGGTGGGTTAAACCCCGAGGGCTTCCCCTGTGGGTGAGTTACACCTTCCCACGCAGGGAGGCACAGCACCTGCCTTTGGATGCTGGATGGGGAGGGAAAGGGGTGCTCCAAAATTAAAAAATAAATGGGAAAACATGTGATTTCTGTCCAGATAGTGAAAGGTGCATGACATGGAAACGAGCTCTTCTCCTGGAGGAGAGGAGAGCGAAGGGCTGGGAGGCTGCTGAAGAGGAGAAGGACTGAAGGCAGAGCAGCACTGGAGACCATCCAGGACAAGGCACGAGAGGGATCCCGGTGTTCTCCAGCTCTTTGCCCCGTGTCCTGGGAAAGCCTGGCCGCCGGCAGCCATCCCTCCCTGCGTCCGGGCGGAAGGAGGGCAGACCAAAGCGCTTCCATCCCGCGCCAAGAGCCGCGAGCGCCTTTGTCCCGGGGAAAGGTTTGAACAGGTTCTGGCGAGCGCAGATATCGGCCGGCGGTGACGTTGGGTCCCCCGGCCCCGATAAGCTCTGACCCCTTATCGATGGCAGCGCTTTGATCTCTGCAGCGGGGCCGAGAGATCTGCCCGCTGAGGGCACAGGCTCCTCGCGAGCCTCGTGGCCCCGAAGCACAAAGAAGCCCTTGAGGCCGGGGGTGCACGATGGGAATGGAAAAGGGAGGTCAGCAGATAAGGGCAGGCGCTGCCTCCCGCTATAAAACCCCAGAGCCCGCCCGGCCCGGCCCGGCCACCGCTGTCGCCCCGGGGTGTGCGTGGACAGCTCGGCACCATGAAGAGGCTCGTCCTGGCCCTGGCGTGTCTCCAGCTCGCAGAGGGGGTGGTGAGGTGGGTGTCCTGTGGCAGGAGGAGCGGGAGAGGGCGGAGAGCAGAGCCCGGCTGCAGCCCTGACCTGCAGGGCACCTGGCCAGGAGCGGCTCCAGCCTCCAGCATCGCCACACTGTGGTCCCAGCCCAGGCTGCATCTCTCCCTGGAGGGCATCCCCGGGCACCTGGAGGGCTCCTGTTGTGGCAGGGTTTGACTGAGTCCAGAGAACTGAGCATTTGAAAATGCCCAGATCTTCTCCTGATTTCCTGCCGTGTTTTGCTGTTTTTTTTCCTCCCTCTGTGCAGAATCAACCTGAAGAAAGGCGAGTCCATACGGGAGAAGATGAGGGCAGCTGGAGTGCTGGATGACTACCTGAAGAAAATTAAGTATGATCCAGTTAAGAAATACAGCTCCAAAAAGGGCTACGTTGTGAACCAGCCGATAACCAACCACCTGGATGTGAGTACCCCAGGCTCCCCTCTCGCTGCCTCTCTGCACACCCCATTCCCCTTTCCCTCCTCCTTCCCAGCTGCTGGAGCGATCTGGTCACCCCAGAGCCTCCAGGAGTGAGAAACTGCTTTTCTCCCACTCTTCTAAGCTTCTGGTTTAGACTTCAGGGAAGTTTTTCCCCAGCCACAAAAACCTTTCTGTATGTAACAAAAACACAGCAATTATTTCATATTTCATTTCTGGGGAGAAAAAGCAGGATGAGAGCTCAGTCTGGGTTATGGGCAAGAGTGAGCCTGGCATTCCTCACCTCCCTGCAAGGCAGTGGGATGCCAGGTGAGAGCCTGCTCTGTTCCTGACCCCGTGGCCAATGCAGGTGCCCCCTCTCTTCTCTGCAGTCCTCCTACTTCGGGGAGATCAGCATCGGGACCCCTCCCCAAAAGTTCTTGGTGCTCTTTGACACCGGCTCCTCCAACTTTTGGGTGCCCTCCATCGACTGCAAGAGCCCAGCCTGCTGTGAGTACCCCTGGTGTGCTGGGAGTTGAGCTACTACTGCTGCCTGTAGTAGCAGTTAGTAGTAGCTACTACCCTGGGGCACTGCATAGCCCAGTCGTGTCAGGGACAACACAGTGCCAGACCAGAAATGATCCCAGGATTCTGATCTGGGATAGCTGCTCCCTGGTGCTGGTTGATGCCTTCCCTGGGAAGCACAGAGTCCTCTGCCCGGCTAATGAAGGTGGACAAATCCCTACGGCCATCCCAGAAATCCCAGTGGTGGTGCCTGACCTTCTGTAGCCGGGCAGAGGGAAGAGCAAAGCCAGGACTAGTGGAGCTGATGTCCTGCTCCCAGCACAGCTCACCCCATGGAACACTCTGCCAGTGGGAGAGCAACGGGGATTTCACTGCCGATGGCTTTGCTGGGTGGCTGCTGTGGTTGTGATCCCTGGAGAGGGATCCAGGCAAAACTGGGATGCAAACCCTGCCTGAGAGAGTCCCACAAGGCAGGGGAACAGCCTGTTCTGCCCTTCAGGACTTGCTCCCTGCCGGGGAAGCTGCTTTCCCGGGCGTTGTCCCAACGGAGTGACTGGCAGTGAAATCCCACCGCAGCCAGATGAGCACACACCCAGGATGTCCCCTCCTCTCTCTCCCAGTCAATCACGCCAAGTTCAAGCCCAGCGAGTCCGACACCTTCGCCCCCAATGGCCGGTCCCTCACCGTGACCTACGGCAGCGGCTCCGTCACCGTCGTGCTGGGCTCCGACACACTCAGGGTGAGGGATCCTGGCCCTGTCCCCTGTCCCAGCTGGGTGTCCCGATGGAAGGAGCCCCAGGACAGCCCAAGAGCAGATTTTATGTAGCCAAGACTTGGGCAAAGTGTGGGTGCAAAGTGGTTATTGCCACCCTCAGTCACCCAGCTGGGCTTCGACTGTGTTTTAACCCAATTCCTGCTGATTTTCCCTGCTGCCTGGTGCTGTTCTCACCAGCTGTGACCCTGCAGTGCTCTTGGGCTTCCAGAGCACCATCCACCCCTCCCAAGGCTGCTCAGGTTTGCCTTGCTGACCTTTGCCTTGCTGACCTCCCCTTCCCCTCCAGATCCAGAACATCACCGTCACAAACCAGGATTTTGGGCTCAGCCAGGAAGAGCCGACCCAGCCTTTCTACTTTGCCGATTTTGACGGAATCCTGGGAATGGCCTTCCCCTCCCTGGCAGTGGGAGGGATGCCCACAGCCGTGCAGGGAATGCTGCAGCAGGACCAGCTTGCCGAGCCCATCTTCAGCTTCTACTTCTCACGGTAACAACCCGCCGGGACGCTCGGCACTGTGTCCCCTGCACTGTGTCCCCTGCCTGTCCCCAGGAGCATTCCTTCTGGGTTTATCCCTCTCTAGCCCACGTACATCACACTGATCTCTGTACATCCTGATCTCTGCTGCTGTGTCTCTGATTTTGCAGCCAACCCACCTACCAGTACGGGGGAGAGCTGGTTCTCGGGGGAATCGACCCTCGGCTCTTCCACGGGGCCATCACGTGGGCACCGGTGACCCAGGAGCTCTACTGGCAGATCACAGTTGAGGAGTGAGTGGTGTTTGTGCCTCTGGGCGTCATCCCCTGGGCAGCTCATGGAAGGAGGGGGCACAGCTGTCCCCCAGGTGCAGCTGCACTTTGCAGCAGGCACAGGCTCCAGGCTGGATGCATTTCAGAGCACCCCGGAGTGACAGATCCAGCCAAGGCATGTTTAGGTGCCCGTGGGTGCCTCAAGCGATGTCATTCCCACTGTTCTCCTCCCAGGTTTGCTGTTGGGCAGTCAGTGACAGGCTGCTGCAGCCAGGGCTGCCAGGCCATCGTGGACACGGGGACGTTCCTCCTGACTGTGCCCCAGGAGTACATCGAGAGCATCCTCCAGGCCCTGGGTGCCCAGGAGACCAGCTATGGAGTGAGTGCAGGGATTCTGGGGGGGTGTGGAGCAGTGGGAGCCTTGCATGGGAGTCAGAGCTGTGGGCTCAACCAGGTCCCACAAAACCTATGTGGCACCTGCAGAACATGGTACTGCAGGTGTGTCAGGGGGATGAAGTCACATCCTTCCCTGAAGTCTTTTCAGGCTGGGAAAGTTGGGGCTATTCAGCCTGGAGAAGAGAGGGTTGTGTGGAGACCTCACAGCCCCTTCCCTTCAGTATCTGAAAGGACTTCAAGGAAGCAAGAAAGGGACTCTGCATCAGGAACTGTAGTGACAGGACAAGGGGAAATTGGTTCAAACTGAAAGAGAATATGTTTAGGTGGGATATTAGGAAGAATTTGTTCCCTGTGAGGTTGTAAGACACTGGCACAAGTTTCCCAGAGAAGCTGTGGCTGCCTCATCCCTAAAAGTGTTCAAGGTCAGGCTGGATGGAGTTTGGAGCAACCTGGGCTAGAGGAAGGTGTCCCTGCCCGTGGCAGGGGGTGGAACTGGATGAACTTTAACGTCTCTTCCAACCCAAACTACTCTGTGATTCCATGATGTGGCACTGCCATGGGATGAAGTTTGTGTCCCCCTGGCATATGAGGGTATCTCTCCCCTCACTGTGGGTGCTGTCCCACCCACGATCTCCTCTTCTCCCTCTCTCCACAGTATGCAGTGGACTGTGAGGAGATCGAGAACATGCCCCCCATCACCTTCACCATCAGTGGTGCTCAGCTCCCACTCTACCCCTCCTCCTACGTCCTGAACGTGCGTACCAGCTGAGGGGCTCCTCCTGCTGAGTCCCAGAGGGCCAGGGGAGGACCCGGAGCTCCTTGGCCAGCAGTGATGTCCCTGGAGCTCCTTGGCCAGCAGTGATGTCCCTGGAGCTCCTTGGCCAGCAGTGATGTTCTCCCTCCCTGCAGCCCAGCTGGAGGGTGCCGGTGCCTGTTTGACTCCCTGTTGTTCCCCTCTTACAGACCAATGGCTACTGCACCCTTGGGATCGAGGTCACCTACCTGCCCTCCCAGGACACGCAGCCGCTCTGGATCCTGGGTGACGTCTTCCTCAAGGAATATTACACCATCTTTGACACAGCTTACAACCGTGTCGGCTTCGCCCGCTCGGCGTAGAGCAGTGGGGCAGCACCACCCAGCCCCTCTCCTGGCCCAGCACTGCCCGAGTGCCACGGCATTCCCAGGGACCTCTAATGTTCCTTTACTTGCCCACGTGACTCCCCATCCCTCGGGATTCCCGGTGTCTCCTGTAACAAATAAACCACAACATCCCAAATCACCTCTGACCTCCCGGGTTTGTTGAGCGATGGCCGAGCACAAACTGATGGGTTACAGGTCTCAGACTCCCTTTCTCCAGCAAGGTAAGTGCTGTGACAAACTCCAGGGCTGAGGATAAAGCCACAGGGCTGGTCAGTCCCCACCTCCAACCCTCATCCTGGGCACCGGGAAAACTCATGTGGGAAGTCCCTGACCTTCCTTGCAGCTGGGAAAGGTTTACCAAAGTCCTGTGCTTTAAGTCCAAGTTGGAATGTGAGGTGAGTCATGACACCCAAATGAGCCCTAACCCCTGAAGCAGGGCTATTCACTCAGGTAAAACTGTACCAGAACTGTGGTGTGGCCGAAGGGGATGGGAAACCCCTCGGGCGGGGGAGGTTGGGTAACCCTGCTCCTTCCTGGGATCCAGACTCGTTTAGTAGGAGCTCTTTCTCGTTATCAGATGTATTCACAGCTCTGTCATTTCACCGGGGGAAGGACACAAACTGCTCTGTGCTTTGTGTCAAAATATTGACACAGGCTGAGTGCAGGGAGAGGAGATTAAGTGGGCGCGGACAGCAGGGAAGGGCTTCCCTCCTCCCCATGGACTGGGAGGTTTCTGGTGGAAATGGGGCAGTGGCAGGAGGGGACAGGTGAGGGCCGACCACATCCCTGCTGATCTTTGCTCTTCCCTTTGCTCCCTGCAGGGTCTGTCCGAGCTGAGGCAGATCCATCAGGATGTGATGGAGGAGGAAAGATGCTGAGGGGTTTCCTGAGCTGCTGCAGGCTCCAAACATCATTCCATGACTTGGATGGGAATGGGGGCCCCTGTCAGCAGAGACTGGGGCTCTGCAGGCACCTGCAGCAGGGGACAGCAGGGCTGCTCCTGCCCATCCCTGGAATGCCAGCAGCAGGAATTTCCATCTGCTACAAAGGGTGTGTTTTGCCTTTGTTTTCTGGAAAGATCGAGCTGGTGCTGAGGGCAAGAGAAAAGACTTGAGCTTGTTAATAACCACAGGATTTTGCTTTTTATCAGATGCCACTTACTTGGTCTCGGAGGCACTGGCCAACCTCTGGGTGCCCCAGCAGCCTGGCCAGGAGGGCAATCAGGGCGGCTGCCGTGATTAACAGCCCGCGGGCGTTGGTGGAGGGTGGGAGCAGCGATAGGGCAAAGGGGTGTCTGGAGCAGGAGCTGGGCACGGCTCTGGCTAAATACACCCTGCCTGGCACAGGAGCTGCCACAGAGCCACCGGCACCAGGGACCATGTGGGGGCTGGCGCTGGCCCTGCTCTGCCTCCCGCTTGGGGAGGGGACGCTCAGGTGGGTCCTGGGGAGGGCTGTGAGGGGCAGGGTCTCAGCGTGGGGAGGGGGCACAAAGGGATGGGGCCACTCGGCATCTCGCTGCCTCCTGCATCCCACAGGATCCCCCTGAGGAGGGGCAGGTCCATCTGGGAGGTGATGAGAGAGAAGGGGCTGCCAGAGGGTTTCCTGAACAACCTTAGAGGGGACCCAGGGAGGAAATACCAGCTCAGTGGTGCTGTGGCTTATGAACCTCTCATGAACTACCTGGATGTAAGTGCTAAAGCTTTTCCTGCCTCCTCTGAGCCACCCTCGGGTGTTTTTGGGGATGCCCTCCTGCTTCCCTGGCTGGCTGGGGGAAGCTCTGCAGTGGGGGCTTGGCTCCCTCCCCACTCCCCATCGAGGGGCTGTGCTGGGTGTGGGCAGGGGTTTTGCTGGGGTTTAGCCTGGCTCCAAGGCTGGGTGATGCTGGGAGAGGAGGGCAGGAGGCACCAGTTCCTGAACTGGAACAGGGAAATGCCTTCTCAGGAAAAGCAGAGTTGATGGTTCTAGGGCAGAGCTACTGCTCCTGGCCTTGCTCCTCTGTGTCAAAGGCAAATCACTGTCCCACAAGGACCACGAGCCTTTCCTATGGCCCCACAGCAGTTTGGGTGTCTAGCAGAGGACACAGGGCTGAAAAACCATTGGAAAAACCAGGCAGAAACAGAAATCCACTCCCACTCTTGCTCACAGACCTTCTACTTCGGGGAGGTCAGCATCGGGACCCCTCCCCAGAATTTCCTGGTGATCTTCGACACCGGCTCTTCCAACCTGTGGGTTCCCTCCACCTACTGCCAGAGTCCAGCCTGTGGTGAGCACCCCTGGGGGACACAGCCGTGCCAAGGGGGCTGGAACCCCCCTCCTCAGTGCTCCCTGGAGCTGTGACAGGGAAACAGTGAGAGCTGGGGGGGTTTGGTGTCTGCTCCGCTCGGTGACACCGCGGGGCTGGGTTTGGATGGTCCCTTCCCTGCAAAGCCTCGTGCTGGGGCCCCTGTGGGGACAGGGGTGCTGAGGTGAGGGCAGGATGTGACCTGGGGGCTGTGACCTTCTCTCTGTGCAGAGGATCACACCAGGTTCAACCACAGCCTGTCGTCCACCTTCCTGGGCATCGACGTGACCTACACCCTGAGATACGGGTTCGGGGACCTGTCGGTGGTGCTGGGATATGACACGGTGACAGTAAGTGACTCCTGACCTGTTGGTGTGTGGCTGCATCGGGGTAAGAGGTGCCTGTGGTTACAATCAGTCTAATTTGCTTAAAAACTCGGGGAGTAGCTGAAAGTACCTTCTCATTCTGGGGGTTAGTTTAAGGTGTGTCAGCATGAATTTACTCCAACACTGGGATCTGCAAACAAACCCATTCTGAGTCCTCTGGGCTTTCCACCCCTGGTTTGGGATAAGGGATACCTTTGGCCACAAGAATTTGCTTTATATACATCTGAGCTTTGTCCTTACAGGACATAAGAGATGTGAAAATGTGATTTTAAATTACTTTAAGAGGCCCTGGTTTTTAATTAATTTAAGAGGCAAAACCATTTTGTGAGTATTTTTATGAAATAATGAGTGATGGGACAAAGACTGTGAGTCAGGCTGCTCCCGACCCCATCGGCGATGGGGATGAGCTCAGCACCTCCCAGTGTAGATTTGCCTTTGTGACCAAACTTCCCTCTCCCTCTAGATCCAGAACATTGTCATCAGGAACCAGGAGTTTGGCCTGAGCCTGTACGAGCCCAGCAGACCCTTTTACTACCTGGATTTTGATGGGATTTTGGGCATGGCTTACCCAGGCGTTGCCATCAGTGGTTTCAACACGCTGATGCAGAACATGCTGCAGCAGAACCAGCTCAGTGAACCCATCTTCAGCTTCTACTTCTCCCGGTGAGACCTCTGGCAGTGGGTCCCTCTCCCACGGGCTCAGCGTGGGTCCATCCTTTCCTGCATCCTCACCTTCTCCCCACTCACCTCTGTGCTCCAGCGCTTCCTGTGGATCATCCTACCTGATTTCGGGTCTCATTTTGTGTCTTTCCAGCAACCCAACATATAGTTACGGTGGGGAAGTCATCCTGGGGGGGGTTGACCCCCAGCTGTACTCCGGGGAGGTTTTATGGGCTCCTGTGGTCCAGGAATTGTACTGGAAGATCAGTATCGAGGAGTAAGTGCTGCTCCACAGCTCAGGGCGGGTCTTGGAGCAGGGGAGCCTTTTCTGACGCCTTTCCTGCTGGTTCTCCAGGTTTTCCATTGGGTATTCAGTCACCAGCTGGTGCAGCCAAGGCTGTCATGGCATTGTGGACACTGGGACATTCCTGCTGACCATCCCAGGGCAGTTCATGGCAGCCCTGCTGCAGGCGCTGGGCGCAGAGGAGAGCGACTACGGGGTAGGTGGGCAGGAGGCACCGGGTGATGCCGAGGGACAAGGACACACCTGGGAGCAAAACATCTCACCTGGAACAGCCCTGCAGTGCTGTGAGACAGAAATAATTCTTCCAAACGTGACGAGTGTGGGGCAGCACAACCCTGGCACCATCAGAGCCGTGCTGACCCTTAAGGAGTGTGGCCACTGGCATAAGGCCAGTGCCAGCCCGGGAGTCCTGACCCCTCTGCCCCTCTTTGCCTCTCTTGCAGTTCCTCGTTGACTGCAGCAGTGTCCCAAACATGCCCACTCTCTACTTTGCCATCAGTGGGGCCTGGTTGTCGCTGCCTCCCACTGTCTATGTCCTAGAGGTAGGTGGGATTTGACCATTCCCAACAGGTCTTTGTCATCCCAGGGCAGTTCTGCTCGGGAGAAAATCTGAGTTTCTTCTCAGGCACAGAGGCCTCCAGCACCCGATTCCACGGTGCTTTTGCTGCCTGTCAGGGATCCTGTTCCCAGCCAGAGCAGCTCCTCACTGGAGCTGAAATTTGCTCTTTTTCCCCCAACAGAACGATGGCATCTGCACCGTGGGGGTCGAGAGCACTTATGTGCCCTCTGCCAGTGGCCAGCCCCTCTGGATCCTCGGCAACCTCTTCCTCAGGCAGTATTACTCCATCTTTGACATGGCCAACAACAGAGTTGGCTTTGCCCTGGCAACTTAGGGATGCTGAGCATCACCCATGGCAGAATTTGTCCCTGGAACACCTTCTCCTCCTTTGGATCTGTGTGGGGTGATAAGTAGTGAATAAAGGGCTGCACATCCAGCTGCCTCGTGTCTCCTCTGGCTGCAGCTGAGCAGGGGCTGGCACAGCTTTTCTTGGTGGAACAGCAAAATCTGAGCTCATGCTCAAGATTTTCAGGCACTTCCTGATGTGCTCGGAGCCTTTGGATTGCAGCAATGACAAACTGGGTTGGTTTTTTTTTAATGGGACCCGGATGCCTGCTGGGGCTGGCTGGGAAAACTGGGATGAGTGGGAGAATTTCAGGCTGCACCATGTGCTCAGCTCGAGAGACTCCAGGGCTGAGCTGCTGTGGTGGCTGGAGGCTTCAGGAACCAGTTTGGAGCAGGACGTGCAGAACAAGGAGCTGCGTGTGAACAGCTCCGGGTTCCTTCGGTTTGGGGGAATTGCCCAAGTGTATTTGCAAATAAATTAGGGATTTAAAAGTGTCATGCAAGGGCGCTCATGATCCTTGTGCGAGGGGCTGCACAATCCTGGTGCAAGCAGCGACGCGACCCCGGGGGTGCGCGGTCCCCGTGCCAGGGGACGCACGATACCTGTGCAAGGAACTGCACGATCCTGGAGCAAAGGGCTGCACGGCGCGGGCACAGCCCTGCCTTCACCCCGCTCCGGGGGTGGAAAACCCTATTTTTGGGGAGGAAAAAAAAAACAACCCAAAACATTTTTAGGGAGGAGCCCTCCCATTCCGGGTAGGAAATCACCACCAACCCCGAACTGCCGCGGCGGCCCGGGCGGGGACTACAAGTCCCGGCAGGCGCGGGCGGCCCGGCCCCGGTGCGAACTGCAGCTCCCGGCGTGCCCGGGGCCGGCGGAGCGAGCGAGGGCAGCGGGGCGGGCGGAACGGGCCGCGCCGGGCCGGGCGGGCGCTGCTGCCCTCCCTCGGCACGGGGCCGAGCCGGGCCGGGCTGGGCTGAGCTCAACCGGGCCGAGCGCAGCCTGACTGAGCCGGGCTGAGCCCAACTCCGCTGAGCCGAGCCGGAGGGCCGAACCGAGCCGGGCCGAGCGGAGCCGAACCGAGCCGAGCCGAGCTGAGCTGAGCCGAGCCGAGCCGAACCGAGCCGAGCTGAGCTGAGCCGAGCCGAGCCGAACCGAACCGGGCTGAGCGCAGCCGAACCGCCTTCTCCGTCCTCCCCCCCGGGTGAGTGCAGGGGTGCGGGGTCCCGGGTGGTCCCGGGGAGGGGGTCGCTCGGCTGGGAGCCCACCTTGGTGCGGGGGTGTGGGGGGTGTTTGGGTGCCCCCCTTCTCCCCCCCGCCCCGCTCCTGCCCCATCCCGGCGCGCTTTGAACTCGTAGTTTCTTTTTTCCCCCTGTTTCGCGGTAAATAACACCGCCCCCCCCGCGCTCCCCGCGCCCCCGGCAGCGGCCCCCGCGCACGGGAGGCTCCAGCCCGGCCGGGGCCGCGGCTGCTCCCGGGAGGGCTCGGGGGTCTCCGGCAGCTTGGCCGGGTGCCCCCTCCGACAGAACGAGGGTCCCGGGGGGCTGCGAGACCACCGGCAGCCCGAGGGGACCTGCCCCGGTCGCCTTTCCCGGCGGGACCACCCCCCCGCACCCCACGCGTGGGGAAACCGAGGCACGGATGCTCCAGGACACCCGGGGGTCGCTGGTGGGGGGGGGGCCGTGCACCCCTCCACCCCCCGGGACAGGGCGCAAAAATCCCCCCGGTTTCGGGGACCGAGAGTGGGACCCGCCCTGTGAGTGTCCCCCCCCCAAGCCCTGCTGCTTTTGGGGTCTGCAAAGGCTGGGAGGAGTGGGGGGTACCCCGTGTCACGCGGCTTTTAGGGGGTCACCAAGAAGACACCCCTCCCCGGGGAGTTTAGGGGGCATAGGAGGGGCTGCCCCGAACCTACGGCCGCCGATTAATGATATTCATGAATTAATTGCGAGGCAGGAAGGATTACGCCAGCCCCCCGTGTCCTCCGGAGCTTCAGCGAGTCAGATGATGGGGAAATTTCCTTAAAAAAAAACAACAAACCAACCAAACAGAACGACAGAGAAAATCTGGTGGTTATTGTGCTCTTCTAAGATAAATAAATAAGCCGGTGCGAGTCCGGGGAAAGCAGGGCCCGTTTCCAGGAATCCCGGCGCTCCTGCGCGTTCCCGGCCCTTGGGGCACGGGGGAGTTTGTGTTTTTTATATAACAGGGAGTCCGGCAGCAGCGGAGAGGGGGACCGGCGGGGTATTTTTTCTTTCCCCCCCTCCTCTGTACTTCCCTGCCGTGTTTGCTTGGCTTCATGCACGGCTGCTCCGGCCGGAGCAGGGAATGGGGCTGGTTTCTCCCGGCTGTGGGTGCCGAGCCTGCCCTTACCTGCCGCCGGGGGATCCGGCAGGGAAAACCGTGCTGGGACCGGTGGGAATTGGGGATTGGGCGGCCGGAGTTGGGAAACCGCCGGATTTGGGCTATCGGGGTGGGCTATTTGGGGTGGGTGTGGTGGCGGGTCACAGCAGCACGTGCTGACCCCGCCGTGCCTGGAGGGGAGCCGGGTGTTTTCCGAGGGATGCTGGGTTTGCTTCCTGAGGGATTCTGGGTTTGCTTCCCGAGGGATGCTGGCCGTGTGTGTTTTCCATGGGATGCCGGCCTGGCCGCCCGCCCTTATCAGTAGGAAACCGCTCCGGGGTGGAGCTGGAGCTGGCTGCGGCGGGGCGATCCAGCATCCGGGTGTTTGGGATGGAGCTGTGATTCCAGCCAGCTCTTTTATTGCTTTTTCCACGCTCCGCGGCGCCGAGTTTACGGCACGTGTGTTCCTGGTCCCCCCCTGCCCCGGCACCGCCTGTGCCGAGGTGAGGGTGCCCTGGTTACCGGATTTTGGCAGTGCCGTGGGGAACGGGAAGAGCCCCGTGGGACAAAATGATGAATCATCGGAGCAGGGGGGACATTCCCGGGGCCGAGGGTGGGGTGGCTGGAGCAGCACAACCCCACGGGGAAAAAACAGCCCTGCAGGGAAACGGGGCTGGGGAGGCCATGCCGGGGGCGTCCCCCTAAAAAGCCACAAGTGCTGAGGGTAGAAACACCCTCGTGGGTCTTCCCACAACATGGGGTGCGGGAGGGGGGAGCTGGAGGCTTTATGTGATGGCACAGCAGGGATCTCATCCCTGGAGTGCTGTTTCTCCTTTCCTGAGGTGCAGACGGCTGATGGGGAGGGACGGAGCTGGCACATCCCTGTCACCTCTGTACTCCATCCTTGGGGACAGCTGGAGTTTGTGGGGTGGTTTTTGGGGGCACCTTGAGCTGCACTTGCCCAAAGGGAGCCATTTTGTAACTCCTCTGCATGGGGTTATCCCTCTTCCCACACAAAGAGGAAGTGGCATCACCTCCATGAGCCAGGATGGCACCACTTGGGCCTTTCTGGGATGCAGTGATTCCCAGGGCGAGCCGTGGGGTTCGTCACTGGAGGGCTGAAAGGGAAGGTCCCTTCCTGAGCACACAGGAAGCACCTGCTCATCTTTTAGTTCCCCCCACTGGTATGTACGTGAGGAGCCCCAGTGGTTCCCCCCAGTTCAGTCCAAGGTCGTGCCCCTCCACCTGGGGCTTGGCTTTCGGTCGGAGCAGGTTTTCCATGTGGATTCCCATGCACGGGGTCCCATGCCATGGTCAGCCCAGGAATCCGGGAAGCTGAGCCCTGTGCTCCAGGATGAGCTCCGTGTCCTTCTCCTCACCTTCCAGGGAGACCCATGAGTTGGCTGGAGGTGAAGGCAATGCTTTGCTGAGGAAACAGGGAGTGGGGGATTCTCCCTTCCTGGAGGCACGGGGGTGGTTTGGGAGGTGTTTTGGGGAGGTAGGTTCTCCAGGGCTGGAGGAGGAGCATGGGTGAGCACTGTGGGATGCCCAAGGGATTTACAGTGGGTGGTGGGTGGGTTCTTCTGGATGGGCTCACCTGGGGAAGGTTCAAGGTCTTTCAGTGCCACATCCCCACGGTCCTACAGCCTTTCCAAGGAGGTTGTGCCACGTTAAAGTCTCTTCTAAGAATTGCTCCTGGGGTTTTGTCACCTTTCCTAGGAGCGCATTCAGCTCAAAACAAACTCCCCACGCCCTGTGCTCTGCTTAAATCCCCTCTAGTTAAATGGGTGCAACTTTCTTTCCGGATAAACCTGAAATGCCCAGCGTGGGGACGGGCAGGGGAGTTTTGGGAGCCTCGGGGACCAGCAAGGGCAGCAGCACTGGCTCTTGGCCAGGCTGTGTCCTTGGGGTTTTGGTGGAATCGCGTTGGGTAGGGAATTTTGAGGATGAAATGAAGAGGGGGCTGCAGCCACCCGGCACACAGGGAGCTTTTCCCTGCTCCTGGATCGCACACCCCAGGGGAGGAGGGAGCTGGTGCCAGCGGGCTTGGCTACAGCTCCTGCCTTATCTGCAGCAGGGTGGGTGCCACACTCAGCCCTGGCCCTGCTGCTCCTCGGGGAACGCTCCAGGCTCGGGGCAGGCGAAGGGCTCGCCTGGAGAAATCCCAGCCTGGTGGGAAAAACCTCCGGGCTCCTCCGTGGCCGAACCGGCGCAGCGTGTGCCGGGGAGGCGGCAGCGCCCGTGGCCAGGGCCCGACCCGGCTGCAGCGGCACCGTGCCAGGGCAGGGGCTGGATTGGCAGCGGGGGCTCCCCAGAGACCAGTTTGACCTTCACGGAGCAGGAAAGCGCCGGGCTGAGCCGGGGGGAAGGAGGGAAGAGCAGGAGCCTCTCCTCAGCGGGTAAGCGGCGGTGGCCGGGCGCTCCCCGGGCATGGGGGTGCTGTGGGGTGGGATGGCAGCGGGATGAGCCCTGGGGAGGTTTGGGAGGGCAAGTCATGGGCTGTCTCCAACTTGTTTATTCTTGGGGAATGGGAACAGCTGTGTCTCCCATGGCTGGGGCTGCCGGGCACGGTCTGGTTACATGAGCTCTGCCTCCGCCGAGCCTCCGGGCCGGGCCTTGGGGGCTGGACACGGCGTATTTATAAATATTACCTCCTTCCAGCAGCACGGGGCTCGCAGGGAGGGAGGGAGGAGGGATGGAGGCGGCGCTAGGAGTGCCTCTGGCACTGGGGGGGGCACGGGGTGGCCACTGTCACCTTGCACCTTGTGCTCGTGGCAAGTGGCACAGTGAACTTGGGCATGTGGAGCTCAAGGGCTGCTTTGGCTGAGCACCCCAACTCGCCAGGATGGTTTCTAGGATTTTGGGATGTGTGGTGGCTCTAAATCCCAGCGCCGTGGTGGATTATCTGCCCTGCTGGATCCAAGCTGGGGGCCGGGATGTGCTGTCCTGCCAGTTCCCCTTATTGCTCATTTATGCGGTTATTTAAAAAAGCCAACACCCAAATTGCCTGGAGTCACCCCGAATTGGGGCAGGACGGGGTTTGCTTTGGGGCCCCACTCCATGGGTGTCTCCTTTGCTGAGGTGAGCAGGACGTGGAGCAGGATTGAGAGTGGGATGTGGAGCCTTTCTGACCCCCCAGCCCCTCCAAGGTCACCCCGCTCCCCTCCTGCCTCCCCTGAAGGCGGGCGTGATACAGGGCTGATTAATCACCGAGCCCGGGGTGGTGAAGCTGCCGCTGGCTCAGCCCCGTCCTCCTGCCTCTTCACACTTTTATTTTTGATTGCTGCTGTTGGGGGGGCAGGAGGGGGGCCAGGGGCTGCCGGCAGGGGCTGTGAATTCCCCGGGTGGTCATTTGGACAGTGATGTTTCAATCAGGGCTCCTGCTCTGCTCCAGCCGCTCTGCGGGAAGGGGTTTTGCTCCGGTTTGGAGGCAGGAACTGGCCCCACCGTGGTGGGGTCCCAGGGGTCCCCCTGCCTCTCCCAGCCCTGGACCTGGCCCGTGGGTGCCAGTCTCCATCTGCTGTGTCTAACTGGTGTGTTGGTCTGCGTGCCATCCCTCAGCTGTGCCACGCTGGGCAGAGGGGCTTTTTGGGGTGAAAAAGAAGCTTTTTGGGGTGAAGAAAAAACACTGGAGCAAGGCTGTGTATTATTAACCCCATAACTACTGCCACGCACAGGTGGGCTCTCGTGGACATACCTTGGCACCACCAGAACCAGGGGGCTTTTTATGGACCCCATTTATTGAGCCCTGGGAGTGACACTGTGACAAGGGACGCTCAGCCCTGTGTGATACCCAGGGTTTCTCTCCACGGGGTCCCTGCCACCTCCTCGGTGGGTCAGGCACTCTGGGGAGCCCTGTAGCTGGGGTTGTGCTGCCTCGCAGCCCGGTGTTAATGTTTTTCCTGTGCCGGATCCCTGGGCCGCTTCCAGGCGCGGTGTTTAGCGCAGGGCAGGGAAAACATTTGGCCTCTGACCCGAGGCCTGTTAACAGCGTCGCGGGCCACGTTTCTGAGATGCCGCGGCTAAAAACGGTGCCGGTGACTCAGTCCCTCGCTGGTGCTGTCAACTGACCCCGGCCGGTCTGTGCCAAGTCCCTCCGCCTGCTCCTTCTCCCTTTCAGGGCTGCGTGACCCCCGGGCGGGGAAGGAGTGGCCGTGCCCATCCACCTGCCCGACACATCTCCTGCCCGCTGGGTGGGTGATGGGGAGGGCGCTGTTGCTCTCTGGGGTTGGAAATGGGGCTTTGCCCCTGCTTTCCCACCACCCCATCCTCACCCCAGAGGGGCATGGGCTGGGTGAGACCTCTGGAGTTTCTGGTGTAGACTCGGGCATGGCTAATGTTGGTGCTGGATCAGGGTCTCCAAGGATGGAGGTTGCCTTCCTTACTGCCAGACTTCCCTCCCTGTGGGGAGGAATCCCTTCCTAACACTGCAGGGCAGACCCTGTCCTGCTGCCCCTTCCTGGGGCTGCTCACCCTCCTCATTCTGATGGAGGTGGCCTGATTACTCACTCCTGTGCTGCAGTGAGAAAAACAAGCAGGTTTGGAGGTTTTTTGCAACTTCCCCCCCTGCACCCCGCGTGGCTGCTGCCACGTTAAAACCCAGGGGCCTGAAAATGAGGAACACAGAGCACGGAGGAGTCCTGACCTGCTGGCCCTGGCACTGGAGGGTCCCCCAGCCCAGGTAACCCCTGCCCCGTCGTCCCCCTTCCCACACAGCGGGGTGGCAGCAGAGCCCATCCCTGGGCCGTGGGCACCTGTGGGGTGGCTTTGTGGATGCCCAGTGGGGTGGCAGCTCAGTGACGTTGGAGCGGATGCTCCTTGATCTGGAGCAAACACCACTGGGCTTGTGGCTACCTGGACCCAGCCAGCTGTGCCTGCCTGGGCTGGGTTACCCCCGGGCTCCCTCACTTGCCACCCTCGTGTCTCTCCCCACCCCCCTGGCATTTGAAACCGAAAAACGAGGAAGGAAGGAAGGGAAGGCTCAGCCGGCACTCGCTGCCAGTAGCGAGAAGCGAAGCTGTTTTCACTTCTTTCTTCTCTCTTTCCTTTTTGCTGCCCCTCAGTTACCAGCCCGGAGCGGGGGTGGGTGGGCGGATGGCCCCGGCCCCCCCCTGCCCCGGGGGTCCCACTCCCGCCTGGAGCTGCCGATTGATTTTTCCGCTCATAAAACGTCCGTGATCGACCGGGAAATAAACACAGGCGGGAGCGGGGCTGGGCAGCGGCGCCGCCTGCACCGAGTTTGGGGGTTCTCAGCCGAGTGGGGCACCGCTCCCTCCGTTCAGAGGGGTGGGCAGTTGTGTGGCATTTGCAGGGGGGGCACCGCGGGTGCCACCTCCCCGTGGCCACCCTGGGGGGGGTAACCTGATCCCTGCACTCTGCAGGGGCTAAATCTGGAAACTGCCTCAGGGCAGCTTTGATTTCTGACCCACGCCTGGGCAGGAGCCCCCGGGGGTGCTCTGGGGCCTGGGCGCGTGGCTCCAGGTGTTGTGTCCCCTCAGGTGTCTCTGGGTGCCCCAGGCTCCTCTGGGCAGTGGGTCTGTCCCCAGCCTGGCCCCTCGCGTTGCGGAGCAGCACCCGATGGAGCTCCAGCACGTCCTGGTGGTTGCTGAGCAGCGGACCCCGTGCTGTCACTGCAGGGATGAGGGACAGCTCGGGGCTCTGTGAAGTCCTGAAGGGGATTAGGGAGGGTTGGGGCAGCTCTGGGTGCCACTGGGGATCCTCCGGCTGGAGCCACCCCCGAGTGCCATCCTGGCATGTTGGGTTCTTGATGAAATAACACCCCCCAGAGGGAAAGCAAGAAAGGTCCAGAAATAACCACGCTGCTAAGTAGCAGCAGAGATGTTTGGAAGGGAGATGCATTCCCTGGCAGTGGGTCTGGCAGGTGGTGATGGAACACGGCTGGAGCCTGGACAGCCCTGTGTTCTGTGTCCCCCCCAGAGAGGAAAAGAGGAGTTGGGGTGTGGAGAGAGATCGTGACCTTTTTCCTCCTCCCTCCAGCTTCCCACCCCTCAGCCCCTCTTCTGCCTCTCCATCCCCTTCCTGTTGCTCAATCACCCACCCTGGGCCTCCCACTGTCCTGCCTCCCTGTGAACCAGGATGAACCCTTGCTGGGCTCTCCTCCCAGTAGAGACCAGTCTGGGGCTCCCACTGGTGCAGGGACGGCTCTGGCTCAGTGGGAGAACCACAGGGCACCTTCCCAGGAATAACAGGTATCCTGGATGGAGCTGCCATCCCATGTGCTCTGTGTCTGTCCCCCTGGATGGTGGGATGTGTCTCCAGGGTGGGATGTGTCCCCCAGGGTGGGGTGCCTGCACGGTGACAGCCGGGTCCCCATCCTGTCCCGCCAGGGCTGACTCAGAGCGAAAGCAGAAGCTGCTCCGTGTTTCGGGGGGTGGGGGGGAAGCCAAGCAGAACCAAGGGGGTTATTTTAAACCTGACCTAATTTCCCCCCTCTCATTATCAGGCCCGGCTCTGGCCACCCTTCCCCATCCTCATCCTGGGAGAGAGGGGATGCTTTTCATGCCCCCCACCCCTATTTTCTATAAGGGGGTCTCACAGCCAGGCAGGGCAGTGGGATGGGGGCCGGTAGGGGTGAGTGGGTGCTGTGTTGTGGGTGGCTACACCCTGGCACCCTTCACGTGACACCCTCTGTGGGCTGTCCCTGGTGTCACTGGGGTCTTTTCCATGGACCTCTGCTGTTTCCCATCTCAAACAGCCCCCTGTCCCCTCCTCTAAGGCCATTTGCAACATCAGCCTTAATGAAGCTCCAGTGGATAACTGTCCTAGGCTCTCGGCTCCCATCCCCCTTCGGATGGGCCACCATGGCTAATTAATTCCCTTCCCCTTGCCGGTCAATAGCTGCTCTTGAGCTGTGTAATCGTATTGCTGTCCGTGCTGCCTTGATTTAATTTCCCCCCAGGACAGCGCGCGGCACCGCGTCCCAGGGCCGGTGTTTTGTGTCTGCCGTGGCCCCTCTGTTTGCCATCACACCTTGTATTTAAATAGCAAAGCCCCCCGGATTTGTCTGGTGATGCCCCCCGGGTGTTCTGTTCCCCTGGCAGCTCTGCTTCCCTCCCACCCTGCAGACGCAGATCCGGACCCCCCATCCCGCGCGGCACCTCCCGCATCCCAGCCCCGCGTGGGAAAGGCGCCCGTGGAAAGCTGCCGCGGTGGGTCGGGTCAGGCAGCTCCCCGTGCCCCGGCATCCTCTCGCCCTCCGCGGGCGCCGTCCCCTTTGTACGGGGGAACAAGGGCCGGTCTGTGCGGGGCGGGGGCCTCGCCCGCTCCCCCCGCCCCCGCGCTCGCGTGCGGGCCCCGCACAGAGCCCGCCTTGTTCATCCCACCCCGGAGCGCGGCTTTGGGACAGCCTGGGCTGGGGTTAAACCTGCCTCCGGCTCCTGGCACCCGCCGGCCTTTTCTTCCTGCTCTTGCCTTGCTTTCTCTTTCCCTTTCGCTCCCTGGCTCTGGGTTTTCCCGTCGTTCCGGTGTTTGGGAAGTTGGCGGCTCAAAGTGCGCTCCGGCTGCAGTACGTGAGTCCCCGGGCACGGGGTCCTGGCTGCTCTCTGTCCCCTCGGGGTCCCTGGCCTGGCTGCTCCCTGTCCCCCTCGGGGTCCCTGTCCTGGCTGCTCCCTGTCCCCTCGGGGTCCCTGGCTGTCCCTGGGGACAGCGGTGGTGTGGTGGGAGGCTGCGGCAGGAGGACAGACCCATCCAGCCGGCGTCGGGGCGTCCATCCCGGATCAGGGCCAGTGCGGGTGCTCCAGAATGTCTGCTCCCTCCCTGGGCCTCAGTTTGCCTCCTGCACAATAGGCTGCTGGTGACGTGCCATGTCCCCCTCAGGGTGAGCTCCGTGCCCGGTGGGTGCCCGCGTGTCCCCCCAGCACCATGGCGTCGCGCATCGGGCTGCGCATGGAGCTGATGAAGCAGCAGGCGCAGCAGGAAGCGGAGCGGGAGCGGGTGCAGCAGCAGATGATGATGAACTACATGCAGCAGCAGAGGATGCCCGTGGCCTCCACCCCGGCCATCAACACCCCCGTTCACTTCCAGTCCCCGCCGCCCGTGCCCGGAGAGGTCCTCAAGGTACCGTGCTGGGGGTGTCCCCCCTGCCCAGCCGTGGGGGAGCCCGCGGGGGTCCCTCACGGTTCGTCTCCTCGCAGGTCCAGTCCTACCTGGAAAACCCCACCACGTACCACCTGCAGAAGTCACGGGACAAGAAGGTTCAGGCTTATCTCTCTGAAACCTACGGGAACAAGTTCGCTGCCCACGTCAGCCCCGCCAGCCACTCTCCCAAGCCGCCCCCCGCCGCGTCCCCCGGCGTCCGGCCCGGCCACGTCCTGTCCTCCTCGGCGGGCAACAGCGCTCCCAACAGCCCCATGGCCATGCTCAACATCGGCTCCAACCCCGAGCGGGAGGTGAGGGGGTGTCACCGCGCAGCTGGGGGGGCACAGGGTGCTGGCAGGGGCAGGGGAGCCCATTGGCACCTGCGCTTTTCCTTTCAGTTCGATGAGGTCATCGATGACATCATGCGCCTGGATGACGTTCTGGGCTACATGAACCCCGAAGTCCACATGCCCAACACGGTAAGTGGGGGGTGATAGGAACGGGTCAGACCCGGGGCTGAGGGAGGGAGGGAGGGGGTTCTGGGGGCCCCACAGCCCTGTGCTTGCAGGGACAGAGGTGGCACAGAGGGGACATTCCCCCACATGTAGGGTGCCAGCCCAAGCCAGCCCCATCCTTGCAGGCAGCAATGTCTCCCTTTTTCCAAGAAGCCAGTTCTCCAGCTTCTTTCCCTCTAATGACAGTTGGGAATCCTTTTAAAAAGCCAGAGAGGCAGGAGAGGGGCGTGGGGAGGGACCCAGTGTCCACTACAGCATGGGGAGATGTGAGTGCTGGGAGTAGTTTCCCAGCAAGAAGCTCCCTCAGAGCCTCCCCGTCTCCTGGGTCAGATCCTTATGGCAGCTTGTGCCTCCCAGTGGGATTCATCCTGCCGAGCCCTTCTCGGATGTGATTCATCTGCCCCGTTTTAGATGTTGGCTGTGGGAGGGGATCAGCTGTGCCCTTTGAAGTCCTGTTTTCTTTGCTGCTCTGATTATTGCTGCTTTAAGGGCCATGGGAAGACAATTCCACCTGCCTGGGCTACGTACTCCCATCCCAGAGGCCGAGGGGCTGGGCTTGATCCTGGTCCCCGTCCTGGATGGAGCCAACCCACCTGTCCCTCTGCTTTTCAGCTGCCCATGTCCAGCAGTCACATGAATGTCTATAGTGGGGACCCCCAGGTGACGGCCTCGCTCGTCGGTGTCACCAGCAGCTCCTGCCCTGCTGACCTCACCCAGAAGAGGGAACTCACAGGTACGTCCCCAGAGCTGGGGTGGTGACAGCGAGTGCCAAAACTGGCTGGGGCTGCTCTGTCCCCATGGGCAGGGAGGGCGGCTCTGGGGAGTCCTGGGGGGCTCTGATGCCAGCCTGGGATGCTGGTGGGGTGAGGCACAGCCTGGTCCCCTCTGGGTGATGTTGTGGGTCTCCTGCAGATGCCGAGAGCCGAGCCCTGGCCAAGGAGCGCCAGAAGAAAGACAATCACAACCTGAGTGAGTTCAGTGCTGGCTCTCCCTGTCCTGACCCCAGAGCCCTTTCTCCATCACTCTTCATCCTCATTCCTCCTTTCTCTGAGCTGTGTCTCCCTTCCCATCCTACCTCACTGTCAGGAGAGACCCCCAGACCCTGCATGGCTCCCTCTTTCCTGACTCTCCAAAATGCAGTGCAGGAAACACCCCGTTGTCCTTCTGGGGGAAGGTCAGACCTGCTGGGCCATGGCTGGTGTTTGGCTCCAGAGGTTTCTCATCCCGAGCCCCCCAGCTCCAGAGGCACTGGGGCACAGTGGTGGCTCCCAGCCCCATGAACTGGGAGCAGCAGCATGGCTGGGGGGGGCTGTGGGATGTGGAGCCTCCCCTGCTCCTGCTGCCCCCTCATTTCCATGCCTCTCTTCTCACCTGCAGTTGAGAGACGGCGAAGGTTCAACATCAACGACCGCATCAAAGAGCTGGGGATGCTGATCCCCAAGGCCAACGACCTGTATGTACCCGTGGCTCCTGCAGGGGGGATACCTGTGGGTCCTGGGGGCTTGCTCAGCACACGGGGGTACCTGCAGAGGGGCTTTCGGTGCAGCAGGGGTGAGGGGACACGTTGCTGGCACACAGGCCCATCTCTTTTTTCACCCTGGATGGCAGGGATGTGCGCTGGAACAAAGGGACAATCCTGAAGGCGTCTGTGGACTACATCAAGAGGATGCAGAAGGACTTGCAGAGGTCACGAGACCTGGAGAATCACTCGCGGCGCCTGGAGATGACGAACAAGCAGCTGCTGCTCCGCATCCAGGTGAGCTTCCCTGCACTCCTCCCTCCCTCTGCTCGGCTCCAGCCCCACGGGCAGCTCACTCCTGCCCTGCTAAGGGGACAGGCAGGGGCTCTCATCCCTTTTCTGGCTGGAAGTCAGAACAAAGTCCTTGGACAAACCTGATGTCTGAGGCTCAGGTCGCTGCACCCTGTTGAGCTTGGCATGGGTCACCCATTTTCCATCCTCCACCTCTCCCAGGGGCTCCTTCTCTGTGAGCTCAGTCCCTCCGTCCCTGCCACCTCCATAAATGTCCGTGTGTCCCTGTGTGTGACATCCCACCAAAGCCCCGCCGTGTCCTGTTGCAGGAGCTGGAGATGCAGGCACGTGTCCATGGGCTGCCCACCTCCTCACCCTCGGGCGTCAACGTGGCCGAGCTGGCTCAGCAGGTGGTCAAGCAGGAGGCCAGCGGGGACGAGGGGACGCTGGAGCCACTGCTGCCACCCCCGGACCCCGAATCGCAGCCGCAGCCGGCGCTGCCCCCGCCGCCCCAGTCTCCCTTCCACCAGCTGGACTTTACCCACAGCCTGAGCTTCGACGACGGCTCCCAGGGCTTCCCGGACAGCCTGGAGCCCGGACACAGCGCTTCCTTCCCATCCCTATCCAAGAAGGAGCTGGACTTGATGCTGATGCAGGACACGATGCTGCCCCTGGCCTCCGACCCCTTGTTCTCGGCCATGTCCCCGGAGGCCTCCAAGGCCAGCAGTCGCCGGAGCAGCTTCAGCATGGAGGACACAGACATGCTGTGATGAGGAGCTGCTGCGAGGACTGGCCCGTCAGGTTTGGGGTGTGAAGTCACAGGACACGCCTGGCAGGAGGAGCCCGTCCTGCCACGCACTTGAATCTTCCCAGGAGTACCTTTCTCTATGCAACGGGGGCTCGGGTCGTGCCCGCCGGCTGCCACCGTGTCTTTCTCAGCTTGTTTTTGCCAGGGGCGGGGATGGACCTTCCTGGCTTGCCGTGGCATTGGCCTGACTGCAGATTCCACGGCCTGGGAGCGTGGTGTCGGCTGCTTTGCCTTTCAGCGGAACCCTCCTGGCCCGACCCCCTTCCCCAGGGTGCCTCTGGGAGCCCCCAGGCCCTGGGAGCAGAGGGACGATGCTCCGAGCTTTGTGTCTGGCTTTGCTGCCTCCTCGCCCCGCTCCGGGAGCCCCCGTTCCCGAGGAGTCTTGTCCAGTGTGGTGTCCGAGCCCCCGATGCCTCACGGTGCCACATCCCTTGCGGTTCCTCCTTCCTCCGAGCCACCTCTTGGGGTCCCAGGGCTGGGGGCAGACCAGGGGCTCCAATTAGTTGGAGCACGTTAATTAACGTGGCACCGGGGTGTTGTCTGAGTGAGATGGACCTGAGGCTACAACTTCAGGTGGGTGTTGAAGGCATCCAGAACAGCTGGGATGGGGTGTTGGATGCTCCACCAACCCCCTGCTGTGACCCCACCTTGTGGGGGGACCCCAGCTCGGGGTTAGGCAGCACCCACCACCCCAGAACCTTGCTGGCCTCTGGACAAGGGCTGGACACGGTGTCAGGTGACCTCCAGCCTCCCTTGAGATGCCCCCACAGAGGTGCCTCTGCCCTGTGACACAGAGCCCTGGCTCTTTGCTGGAAGCATAAAGGGGTTTCACACTGTTTTGGGGATACCTGTTGAAGGTCCTGCCCCATGTGGGCACGAAGGTCTGGGCTGTGACCAGGGAATGGTTTGTACCAGTTGCCAAACTGAGCTGCTGCTCTCTCTGCCTTGGACTCGGGGGGTTGTTTCCCTTCCAAGTGTCACCAGCTCGTTCCCCAGCCGGGATGGCTCCGTGCTGGGGATCTGCTTTGGGCTCTGCCTCTTCTGCCTTCCCAGCCTGGGAGGTGGCTGGGAGGGAGCTGGGAAGGGCAGGGGGACACTGTTCACAGGGAAAATACTGCATGGATTTATTCAGGGAGAGGAGGGAAGGGGGGGAGAGGAGACCCCCTTGGCAACCATCACCCTCTGGGCCGTGGGTGCCCTCGGGGATGGGGCTCCCTGAGTGCCCCCTATCCTGGACCAGGGATGGGGGATGTGTGGGGTCAGGAAAGCCTGGCCAAGGTGGGACAAACGTGCCCCATCGTGGCTGGATTTGGGATTGGAAGTGGGGGGCAGCCACAGTGCCCCCCTGGAGAGGTGCCTGTGGGGTGTGAGGGTGTGGGGAAGTGCAGAAGGAGGGGAGGAGAGGGGGAAGGAAGAGGGAGGAGGTGTTGGAGTGGCCCTGGAGCGCTGGGACAGGGCAGGGGCAGGAAGGAGGGTGCTGGGCGAGGGGCTCTTGGTTTGAGGAGCTGTTGGGTTCGGGGGTGTTCACAGGAGGCCTTGGCACCCTCTGTGTGCTGCCGTTAGTGCCTGTAAAGAGAATTATCCCCTGGCAGGGTGACAGCACCCGGCGCTGTGCTGGGTCCCTGGGGATGGGGGATCCCTGGGGATGGGGGATCCCTGGATCTGTGGACCCCAGAGGGGCTGCGTGGCTGCCTCAGGACAGGCCTATGAAATCCCGTAGGAAATTGGGATTGTCGTGGCTTTGGGGTGGTTCTGTTGGGCCCTCGGGCACCGACAGGACTCAACCAGAGCACGAGATGTGGCGTCTCCCCCAGCCGTGAGTAAACAGTTGTGGATTACAATTATTATTATTTTTTTTTTTAATCTTTTGGGGGTTTTGTTTGTTTTTCTCTTTTTTTTTTTTTTAATGCACTGTGCTCTGATTAAAAAATTTTACTACTGTTTTATAAATAAATGTATAAAAGAATGAACTGGAATGGAAGAAGAATCATTAAAATATATTTATTTACAACACCCCGGAGCGTTGCAGTTTCTTCTTGTCCCAGGAGCTCACCTGTGTTTCCTACCTGTTGGGTGGCCTCTGGAGCAGGAGTGGGGGCTTTTCCCGCTGCTGGGGCTGGATTAGCATCACCCTTGGGAAGAATCTGCTTACAAAGTGTCCTGCTGAGCCCGTGCCTGGCAAAACTCATCCCACGCCACATCTGCAGCCACGTGCCAGGTTCCCGCTGCCCCCCATCACTCCCCCTCTGTGATGGTGTTAAACACACACACAAGGGGAAAAAAGAAAGCAAATCCACCTTAAAATAGACTTCCCAGGATGGAAAATCACAGGGGCTAATCTTGGAAACTTTATTAAAAGAAGAAGGAGGGGAAAAAAGAGCGAGAGGAGTCTGAGGGGGGAGAGGAGGAGTGAGTGGTTCCAGACACTTTAGAGAAAAAATAAAAAAAAATCCCTGATTTGATTTATCTGGGGAGTGTGAACACTAAATAGAGAACAACGCCTGAAGTGTGAATTATTTCCTATATTAACACAGAGAAAAACTGATAGCCTTTTCATGTCAGGAGAATAGTGTGGAGGGAGGGAGGGGAGCGAATGACATTGTTCCATCTCCGGGTTTGCTCACTCTTTATCAGGCTGAGATCAAAATTTATTCCCAGGATGAGGCCTGCGGCCCGGCTGAGGCCCTAGAGATTTTTAAGGGCCTAATTAAGAAAACAGGATGAAAATGGCGAAATAAGAGGGCAATTTACTTCTTGCAGAATAGGGAGATCAAATCAACTTATGAGCAATTAATGTGCACAAGGAGAGAATAAAGGGATGCCGGGATATGGAAGAGGGCCTCATTTTAATGACATGCTCTGGTGTTGGCATAGAGGATTACTCTGAAGGTCAGATGTAGATTGAAACGACCTTGCAGATTCTTAACCCTCCTTCCAATTAACAGAACCAACTCAGAAATGCAAAAGACCCTGGCTCGGAGCACTGTCATCCCTTTATGTTCCGAAGGGAGGGGGAAAAATAAAATTACAAAGGAGAGAGAGGACGAAAGGGGGTTTCCTTGGCTTCCACAGCAGCTGCGGAGACGGGAGCTGGGGCAGGCGGGAGAGGAGGCTCTTAATTACAGTCTGAGAGCCACCCACGGAAAAAACGGTGTCAGGGCTCCGAGTGGGATATAAAAGGGAGGCAGCTCCGGCTGGGGCTGTGGCGGGTGTGATGAGCTGTGGCAGGGCTCTGCCCGTGGGGATGGGATGGGATGGGATGGGATGGGATGGGATGGATGGATGGGTGCACAGAGCCGTGGGATGGGGAGCAGACGAGTGTCACCACACCGGGGTTGGGGCTGCACCCGGGGGGTCCTCGCCTCTGTCCCCCCACCCCTGCTGGGCTCTCGCAGTGGGATCGCTGGTCCCAGGCTGCCTGTGCCGCTTTTTCCCGATGTTGTGGCTGTTCCCATGGGGAGGAGGAAGGAGGGAGCAACCGGGAGGGTGGAGGCGTCGCGCGTGGCCGTGGCAGCCGGGATGGGACAGCCGGGATGGGACAGCCGGGATGGGATAACCGGGATGGGACAGCCGGGATGGGACAGCAGGGATGGGACAGCCGGGATGGGATAACCGGGATGGGACAGCCGGGATGGGACAGCCGGGATGGGATAACCGGGATGGGATAACCGGGATGGGATAACCGGGATGGGATAACCGGGATGGGATAAAAGGGATGGGATAACCGGGATGGGTCGCCGCGGACTCCCGGTGGGTCGGGGCGGGAGCGGCGAGGCTGCACCGGGGCTGAGCAGCCACAAGAGAGAGCCAGACGGTTGCGGAGCAGCCGGGGCTCCGGCCGGGAGCCCGCCCGGCAGGACGCGCATCCCGGAGCCCGGGGCGGGTGTCTGGGAGCGGGCGCGCTCGGGGCTCGGGGTGTGAGCGGGACACGACCCGGCGATTTGGGCTCCAAGCCCAAAATCCACCGTGCCCCGGGCTGCAGACCCGGCTGTGGGGGCAACAGGGGAGGGGGAGGTTCTCCCTCTCTGCCCCACTCAGGTGAGACCCCACCTGCCTCCAGCGCTGCCTCCAGCTGCCGGGAATCAACATCAGAAGGACCTGGAGCTGCTGGAGTGAGTCCAGAGGAGACCAGGGAGGTGTTCCAAGGGCTGGAGCCAGGCTGGGAGAGCTGGGGGCGTTCACCTGGGGAAGGGAAGGCTCCAGGGAGACCCAAGAGCCCCTTCCACACTAGGAGAGCTGGAAAGGGGCTTGGGACAAGGGATGCAGGTCCAGGACAAGAGGAAATGGCTTCCCACTGACAGAGGGCAGGGTTAGATGGGATATTGGGAAGAAATTCCTCCCTGTGAGGGTGGGGAGGCCCTGGCACAGGTTGCCCAGAGAAGCTGTGGCTGCCCCATCCCTGGAAGTGTCCAAGGCCAGGTTGGACAGGGCTTGGAGCAATCTGGGCTGGTGGAAGGTGTCCCTGCCCATGGCAGGGGGTGGGACTGGGTGATCTTTAAGGAGCCTTCCAACCCATAACATTTTAGGATTCTAAGTGGGAATTACCCCACACAGAACCCAGGTCTCCCCAGGAGGTGATGCTGGAATTTGCCTGTCCCTGTGAGCTCGGTGTGCTGTGCTGGAGCTGACACCCTCTGGGAGCAGGAGCAGTGGGTACCATGCTCTGGGGGTTAGAACCACATTCCCTTGGACTGCTCCATGGGACAGGTCTGAAGGCTGGGTTTGGTTCTGTTGTTTTATGGTCAGACTGGATTTGTCTGAAAGCAGAGATCTGTGTGAAGAGAGCTGGGAGTTCCCAGCACTGGCCTTTGGACACATCTCCAACCCCCTCAGAAATGCCAAGTTGTTTCTCAAATCCCAGAGACTTTTCTACAAAAAAATTTTCCTGGGGAGGGGGAAAAAACCTTCAAGGAAACAGAATATGGGCTTGATGCTGCAGGAAGAAAGAATGAGCACAAGCCAATCAGCACCTCTGGAGAGAGACGCTTGGCCAAGCAAGGCAGCTCTGCCCCGAAAATGAGCAGAAGAGCAGTGGAGAGCAGCAAGAGGAGTGGGAAGCTCGAGGCGCTTCCCCTGCTTCATCCCAAACCTCGCTGAATCATTCCCACGTGGCTCCATGGCATCCCTGGCATGGGGCAGAGCAGGACCTGGGATCTGGAAGGCATTCCCTGCCTCAGTGATGGACCTGGAAGGCATTCCCTGCCTCAGTGATGGATCTGGAAGGCATTCCCTGCCTCAGTGATGGATCTGGAAGGCATTCCCTGCCTCAGTGATGGGCTCTCGCTGAGTTTTCCTTCTCCCCCTGTGTCCCTTCATTTCCTTCCTGGCTCTGTCTGAGCTCTCTCTGTGATTTGAGCACTTCTGCTGCTCCTTCCCCACGTGAAGCCCAAACCCTCTGCCCTGACGTCTCTCCGGGGGTTGTTGTGGCAACGGCTGGGATGAGGTCAGGGGGAAGGGATGGCTTTTTCAGGTGGGGGAACAGCCACACGTCCGCCTTGGCTTCCAGAAACCAAAACAGCTCCCTGCAAATAAATCTTTGCATGCAATAAAGAGGGAGAGACCAGAAAACCTCTGATGCCTGTCCAGAAATTTCTTCCAAAGAAAAGGGTCTCGGCTGGTCCCTGGGTGAGTCGCTGGCTCGGGAAGGTCAATCCCTGGATGTGTTTGGCCTGTTGTTTTTCCATCAGCAGCTTTTTAAGGCTGTGGGGCTGGGGAGCCCCTTGGACTGTGAGTGGAGCTCTCATGGTTTGATGGCTGTGAGGATTCCTGGAAGTGGCTGTGTGCTGTAAACCAAAGGGCTGAAGGGTTGGTGGAGTTCTGAAGAGGGCTGTGGATGTGCTGGAAAAAAGCTCTGGGAAGAGGAGAATGAGGTGCAGGTAGAATGTTGGTGCCTCAGTTTCCTCAGCACCCGGGTGAGGATGCAGAGGCTGCTCTGGGGAAGGGACCTGGCCCTGGCCTGAGCCCCTGTGGTGCAGGTGGCAGCTCGTGTGGAGCAGTGATGCCAGAGCAGCCCCTTTCCCATGGGATGAAAACTTCCCAGGCTCAACCCCCAGGGAGCAAACCCCCGTTTCCCAGCTGGCTGTGCACAGCCCTGGCTCAGGTTTGGCTCAGACAAGCTGGGGCACTGGGAGAGTTTGAGTTCTGCCTCCTGGGTAGATCAGCAGGAGTTTGCACTCCCGAATCTCCTCTGGAGCCAAATGGCCCAGCTCCACTGGCCCTGGCAGGGCTGGGATGTCTGCCAGGGTGAGCTTTGGCCCGGGACACCCGGTGGACTCGACAGTCTACCTGGATTTTCCATGCTGGAGCTGGATTTGCAGAGCTGGATGCTGCAGCAGCTGCTGCCTGGGCACTCCAGTGTGGTCGTGCTGAGCTGGGAGCAGCAGAGCCCTGTCCCTGCCTCCAGCACAGGGCACCTGGAATGCACCCTGGGGTGCTGGGACCCCGAGGAGGGCCAGGCTGAGGGGACCTGTGCCTTGATTGTCTCGATGATTAGAAATCCTGTTGGAAATCCAACCCTCCTGCGCCACGTGGACACCACAAGGAGCTCCCCAGGGATGCACAGGGACTCCTTCTCCCACCAAGCTGTACCCCAAAGACCTGGGCAATCTGCCTTCCCAAGGATGCTCTGCCTGGGAGCCACCCTGCACCCCAATCCTGGGATTTTTGTCCCAGCTGGGCAATCACAGGAACCTTGGGAATCTGGGATTCCTCATCCTGAGCCCCTTCAGGATCCCACTGTGGGTTTGTCCATCTCCCACACCACTGTGGATTCCTTTTCCCTCTTCCCCCCACACTCCAGAGCTGGTTTAATCAGCTCATAGTTTTCATTTCGTGCCTTTCTCTCTCTCCTTTTTTGAGGGGGCAGTGAAATTTATACAATATTTAAGCAGCATAGTGGAGTCCTGGAAGATATTATTAATGTAAAAGGGACAGGCTGGAAATGCACTTGAACCTGGTTACAATTAGAGGGTGATTTTTCTAAAGGTCAATGAATTCAGATAATATCCACAGGGGG